ACAGACGACGGGATAAAGAAATTATGGTTCATATATACAATGGAATATTACTCAGCCATTAAAAAATGAAATCCTACCATTTGCAATGACATGGATGGACTTAGAGGTTATTATGCTGAGTGAAATAAGTCAGGCAGAAATAGATAGATACCATATGATTTCACTTATATGTGATACCTAAGGAACAAAAAGAACAAACTAATCAAAAACAGACTCACACATATAGTGGACATTTGGTGACCGACAGAGGGGAGGGGGCGTTGGGAGGCTGGGAGAATGGTGTTGAAGAGGTAAAGAAATACAAATTAATAGTTGATAGTTGGGCACATGGAGCATGGAAGAGGGAATGTAGTTAGCATTAATATGATGGCTAAGTGGAGGGCCAGTGGAGGGAGGGAGCAATTGGGGAGATCGTTTTATGAACATTATAGATGTCTAACTAATATACTGTATACCTGAAACTAATTTAAATAAATAAACTTATTAAAAAAAGAATTAAGACTAAAAAACAAATTGCCAATATTTTTAGAAAAGTGGAATTTTATTTGAATTGATAGTTCTTTCATTAATAGTAAGATTAGTAGCATTTCCATTTAGATCATGCAATTTTCTTTTTTTATGTAGAAATTTATTTTTTCTTAGTTTCCCACCTTCTTTCCTTTCTTAAGCTTCTCCCGTTATAACATTATAAAATTAATTTTAGAAAATAAAACTACAAAGAAGAAAATACACCCTATAGCGGAAGACTTTGAAACTGGGTTTAAGAATCTTTTCTTCTGATCCTTAGGGCCATGGAAAGTCTTTCTAAAAGTACAAAAAGTACTCAATGGTTTTCCACTGGCAGTGGAAGAAGAGGCACTGGTTTATTCTGATTGTCTCTGTTGATAAAACAGGGTGCCAGTTGGCTGGACGTAAATTGGCAAATCCTGACTGGCAACAACTTGAAACAAGCAGGACAAGTTGTAAGAAGTTGCAGAGGTAAGATGCGAGAGAGAACGTGGGAGGACGACTGGGCAGAGGGACTGGGAATAAATACCTCATGAGTTCTACTGCATTTCACTAATTCCTACAATCTGTTTTCAAGAATTCGAAAACTCTAAGAAAACAAACACCTAGCAGGCAAAATCGCCTTCTTTCTGCCTACTGCTCTTTCCTTTATGTTGGAGTTAGCAGTTTCAAACCCGTCAGGCCCAAGCAATATAACCTGACGCGCTTCTTGGGCTTGATGACTCAACACGTGAAGGCACTCCCTGCATTCTGCAACAGTTCCGACAACGAAGTCGGGGGTGGAAAGACCGACCATCTCCGGCGTGTGACTCACACTGCATGCATCGACACCCTGGGCGCCCTCCTTTCGGAACATCTGTCCCTCCACGTTATCCCGGGAGAGGCCCTCAGAGTTCATTCATTCATTCAACAGGCTTTTGTAGGGACTCCCATCCCCCTTTGTGGCGGGAGGTAAAGCGAAGAGGAAGGGCGACCAGACCCGAGGAAGGGCGACAAAACAGGCCAGCGGGGGGACGCCACGCAGGCGACGGGCGGATTCCCGGGAGGCGCGGGCGCGGCGGGGACGCAGGGGAGCGGGCAGCGGGGCGAGGGAGGCCCGCGGCTGGACGCTACCTGGGGGAGACCGCGTGAGGTTTCGGCCCTCCGAGCTGACGGCCTGCAGGTA